TTCCAAGCTTCATATAAAGATCTATTTGCTCGAAGAAGAAGTAGACGAAAACGAACTTTGTTCGCGGCTGGGGTTTACTATCGTCACGGTGTGAACATCCAAACAGCTCACATTGCTGTTTGTACAAAACCAAACATAGGCCACTGAATAGTTGACTCCCATCCGTCTTAGTTTCAATGAATCACCTGTTATTTGTATCGACTTGAATCAGCCGAAGAACCAATGAATTCAAACATGAAAATAATCATAAATTTCATGATTTCATGTTGACCAAATGATTAGGGTAAGTCATGTATTGAATGACGCCTTTATTGTCATTTTGTTTCAGCTGCCCATCGTTTCCTGAGCACCGCAGTCGTGTCAATGTGATAATACGTCTAGCGGATTCGAGCTTGGAGAAGTTGTGGATCGCCGAAGCCAAAAAAGTTGGTCTGATCGGATTGAGTGGGCATCGAAGTGTTGGAGGATTACGTATCTCGTTGTACAATCCAATTGATTCAGCTGATTTGGACCGATTAGAAAGTTTTATGCGACAATTCATGGAGAACCATCGGGACACTGGTCTACAAACAATACAGAATAATGAATAAGAACAACTCTGGACGTGATTCACGCTTAAACCGCTTGTGTTTCTCTGTGCGATATATTTCTGCTTCCTGCAAATTAAAAGCTACCTTTCAAGCAAACCACACGTTGTAATACAATTAACATTGGAAAATGTTGGAAGCTCATCCATTAAGTCGAACAAAGCCAGTTCAAAGATTGCGTGTTCGAATCAAGTCGGGCTCACCATTTTAGAAAACTACTGTTATCTGCGATAAGTTAACACGTTTTGCATCAAAGTTTGGAAGTACAGTGAAGAGGAATAGACTTATTGCCCTTGTCGAGTAAGGAGGATAATACGCGTGATATAGAACTGCAGGGCAAAATTTACACGTACATCGAGAAATATTGACTCACTGGGCAAGTGGCTTTTGCGCGAGTGATTGTAAATAGTTAAGGCATCAGGTACATGGGAGCTTATACAGAACGGGTGGAGAGAAAGAGCGGCACCATCTGCTTGCAGCGCAAAGCAATGCACCGGAACACGTTACCCCCCAACACACTGACACGACGTTTGTTATTTGAAGTCCCTTTGAAAAGAAAAATGTCTTAAGTATATGTTGTATTTTTTTTAATTATTTTCATAAGATGTATATTATACGGGTTAGGTGAATTCTTATCTCTTGTTTCAATTTGTAAGATCATCTCGGATGGTTCCAATACGTATCGGATATGGTTGGATCTTTTCATCCAGACATTTAAAAATGACATTGACACAACTGCGACATATAAAACGAACACAATCTGAGTGGAAAATGGAATCAACATTTTTATGCACAAACTCGTGGTATTCTAACTCATGTTCATTTATTATACTACTCATGAGTAATATATTTATATATACTAAGTTCGCCATGGGTTATTGCGGTTAACTTGGTTACGCATACCTGCGTAAAGGATTACAATGAACAGGACGTTCAATATGCTTGGCATTTACAGTTTTTAGGTAAAATGCGATTATTTATTTATACACATTCGATGGAGAAGTAGATACGAATTCGTAAAAAGAGTACTTGATGGAAACTTGTGTGCAGAGTTGTTGAGCTCTAGGTGAAAATAGAACGTGTTTAATATGCTCCTCAAAGCGGCATCAACACCCTCCTGTGGGCAGCTGTTCCATATATTGATTACTTCGTGGGTGAAGAACTGTGTCGATTGTGCATAGACTATGAACTGGTTTGTTATATCGAACACTATATCCTTTTACATTCTTCTTGTCCGCATATTACAATAGGACCTCTGCGATCTGATGTCGCTGTTAGTGTTTTGCTGGCTTATTCCTGCGCTGAATTGGATAAGTATACAAGTTTCTAGTCCTAGAACGCGATCGAGATGTTTCGTATGGGAAGTATGAAACTATTCGGCTTAACGGCCTTTTGACATCACCTCTTACGGATCTCGTAACGCGCGCGACTTACTGGGGTCTTGTTGCCCGACATGGACAAAAGCACTGTTGGCTATCGTAGACGTTCATTAGCGCATCTTGATACTGGAAAGTACCGAATACGTTCCAATGTAACGGTGAAACTATGCAAGTAAATAAATGCGGTCGCAAAGTGAAAAATTGTCACACGTGTTTCGTGGCTTGTAACAGGAACCAGCTTTTATACGAACCTGAGAGGAAGATCTTGCTCAATAGAAGACAACTAGTAAACTAAAAGAGAAAGTAATATCACATTGAGAGTCAAAGTTGACCGTGAAGAAAAGATGGACCGAAAACTTCCCTGTGGACTGCACCCTTTCTTCGTTCAATCAGCGTCACTACAAGGATCCTTCAGTTTGACTGAAGGGAATGAAACCAGGTAGAACAGAGCTTGTATTTTCTTGAAAATGGGTCCGTAAGGTAGAAGCTTCTTGATCAAGCGGGGCAATCAGGGAGAAACCGGGCAGGTATCAATAACCTGTTCCGGATCACCCAAAGTGAGCTGAAGAGGCATTTGCATGGGAAGTGTTATTAAGCCATATGGAGAGCGTATAAGAACTTAGACGCAAAGGGGTAGAAACATCCGTGTACTCATTACAAATGTGGCCCATTTTATTTAGTCAAACCTGCAATTCAACTACTTGACTTGATCCTATATTGGTTGTGATTTTTATAGTATATCACAAAGGGAAGAATGCAGTGATCGGCTCACGTAACCATCCGACACCCCATCAACCCAATTTTTCGTAAATAAAAACCTACTACTCATGAGTAGCATACAGTTCTTTCTCACTGCACAAAGAAAAGTTCTCAAATAATGATAAAGAAAACGTGTACTAGAACGAACTGAAATGTAACATGCGCATAATTATGCAATATGCTGTAAATAAGTGTTAATATCATTAATAAACTTCTGGATAGATAGATAAAACCACATTCGATACTGTACTTCATCCAAATGCTCCCATATGACCGCCAACTAAAACAGTCACGTTTTTCAAGCGTCATTTCATACAACTCCAAAAGGATTCCACATTATTAATATCCACACCGTTTGCAGGGTTCGCAAAACCGTCACAGTGTGATTTACACACATTTCTATATATCCAAGTGAACACAGTGAGCGATACGGCGCCCACTGATCGGTGTCAACAGTTGATCCCAGCTGCACATATGCGCATGTGCACGTTTTTGATAATAAATTCCAGTCTTGCATATATTCTACGCCAGCCTGTCCTTGAATTTAATGCAGTATTCGGTACATGTCGGAAATAATGCAACTATATGTTAAAAATTTAAGAAAAATGTATTATAAATATTTAAAACTGGCTGCCTTTAGAACGAGATAAGAATAAACGAATTACTATGGGGTGCCGGATGGTAACGTGCGCCATCGGATAATCAAAGAGGAAGTTACGCTGCTTTGAATGTATAAATGTTAATGAAACAGCAGAATGAATTTTGCTGCAGTTATCGAAATAAATGTTGAAACAGTAGGTCCCCTTTATCCAATTCGTTAGGACCGAGATGAAAACAAATACTGCGAGATGTTAACATTTCTTTTAATCTCTTCAGTCGCTACAATAATGTGGTATTTTAATACAAGCAAGTTTTGATAAATATCGTGGTTAAACGGACAACAGTCAGGGTGGCGGGTGAGGTGGGAAATCAGTTCCACGACAGTCTGACTTTTGTGCGCATAAGGTCGGGTTACGTAACTTGATTAGCATCGCCTCGCGAAACGCCAAAATCCGTTTAACCACTTTATCTATCGAAACTTGCTTGTATAAATATCAGATTGTTTTACGTTGTAGCGACTGAAGAGATTGAAAGAAAGAAATATTGTTCAATGACGGTTACAACTCAAATGTCTTCTACAGAGTCACAACCAATGACTTCATGGACTTACACCAATAATGGACTGGTTAATATTATTGAAACGTTGGTCATTTCGATGCGGAAATGATTACACGCTAGACACCCAACCCTCAACGAAATCGCAGGTGATGCAGGGAGTATGATCCTCAACCCGGTCCGGAATGCGAACGCATGTAGTCAACACGGCAGAGTTAGCTGCACCCAATAACCATGGGCGGAGCCAAATGGTCCAACGTGGGGATAGATCCAAACAAGTAAGACAGACACATAGTAAGAAAATATAGAATCAGAAAAATAGAGCCGACACAATTTGCGGTGGAAGCCCCGGCTAAAAAGAGAAGTAGGCGGAGACAAGAAGCAGCTCGTAGAACGATCAATCCACGGGGATCAAGACTACTCGGAAGACGATCACAGGGTGGTTAGTGAGTTACTCGCTAAATTACTTTCGAAAGCGCTTAGGTTGCACATCATATTGGAGGACCAAAAATACCAATCTCATCCAACGATGCGACCATACCGATGAAAATATTCGGTAAGCGAAGGGCGAGAGTTAGTCATTTCAGTTGAACACTTTTTTCTTAAGCCTGGATTTCTCTTAGACAGTAGATCTGATGATTCGCCTAAGAGGTTAAGACAATGACGATCTTGATCGATCGCTCAATATCCTAGTAATTGAAGATATGTCCATCTTGCAACTGGGCAACTGTCACCTATACCGTCGACCAACCGGTATGGAGTTTTATAATTTAACAGCAGATCTTCTCTCTACAACTGACCTCAACACATCATAGGATGTTATTCAAAAACCCTGGCGAGTAACTTTGAATAATATTGTTCATCAATGATCCATTAGTAACAGACAGGAACAAAGAGAATGCGCCATATATATAAATCAAATTTAAAAAATAATTATCGTTTTCAATTTAAATGGTTATTTTTCTCATTTCCATTTGGCTTGTGGTAAGCTTCGTCAGCGATTACGTTTACTGGTACCCATTCGAGTCTATGCATGAAAGAAAAAAGAATATTCCGTTAATACTGGCGTTAAGCTAGCTAGATTTGAGACCCCTATTCCCTCAGCTTCCCAAATTCGCCGTCAAGGGGACACTTAGGGAACTGTGGAGGGGGTCACTCAAAGGATACTAGGGGGACGGTCAAGCTGCATTGGTCGTATAAATTGACGTTTCAAGTTTCATGTCAGCACAGAAATATCAACAAGATGCTCAGGTAAAGACAACGCACCTGATTTCCCATGTCCCGAGCATTATAAACATCTCGAACACGTATTTGTGAGGTCAAACTTAGGAACTTGTGGTAAAGGAGACCTCTTTCGCTCCCTTGGCGTTTTCAGTAATACCTTATTTTGTTGGACGTTTTGTAGAAAAACGGTTTCCACTGGAAATGATACGAAAAAGGAAGTGCATTTTTCTTACCCGGGGACATTCACCGATGAAAGAATGCTGAAAAATATTTTAACCAGAATCTCTACGAGGAATGTTGATAAGAAACTGACTGCAGTTCGAAAATATTGTCAAGTTCGATCATTTTGGAAAAGTATTCGAAACTGATGAGTGACTTTCGAAATTATTCATTGCTTGTCAGAATTCATTCGCTCCGATATACTACTCGTTACAGATATATGCACGTAATGCAGTTTGAAATTGCGGCTTAGATACAAAACGAAAA